GGGAAGGTGCGAGGCAGGCCTTGGGGCTGGTCCTGCCTGCTGCCTGCCCTCCCCTCGCCCCCACGGGCTTTGTGCTGCCTCTTCTCGTTGCTAACGGAGACTTCCCTTTGTCGGAGTGCAGGGTGACTTGTGAGGAATTGCCTTCCCCGGAGCCTGGACCGGTTTTTTGGGGTGTTTTTTTGTTTGTTTTTTTGTGTTTTTTTTTGTGGCCTAGCAAGAAGCGGTTTCCTTTCCCGAGGTGTTGGCATCTTCTTGCCTGGATTCAGTCATTCCCAAAGGAATGGAGGAATGCAGCTGATAAGCCCTTAACCACCCTGTGCTCCCATAGGCAGCACCAGAAGCTGGCTTCATCTTCTCCACTTTGGCACTTTGGGGGTGGACCTCTCTTTGTTATCTGATCTGGGTACCTTTTTAGTGGCACTATAGACCAAAGGAGATGGAAGAAAAGGAGCGATGTGATAAATTCCAGCTGGTACCTTGAGCCTAGGAGGATTCATATCTTTTGACATTCTTTTTTTTTTTTTTTTTTTCGGGGGGGGGGGGGGAACTATTACATTTTATGGGATATGGGAGGAGAGAGGAAAAATATGTTGCAGATCTTTATGTGGTTTTTAAAACCAGCCATCAGAGGCAATTACTGAATAAACTGAAGCACAAGAGGAGGGTTTGTGAGCTGGAAGCAGCGCTAGCCTACAAAAAAAGGGGGCAGTGGGCTGCTGTTGTGACTGTGGAGGAAGAAACTTCAGCCTCCTTCATTTCTCACCGCCTACTCTCCATCCACCCTGCGCGAAAATGAGTTGCGTGCCATGGAAAGGTGACAAGACCAAATCGGAATCACCAGAGCCGCCCCAGCTACCGCCACTGCATATTTACCATGAGAAGCAGCGTAGGGAGCTGTGTGCCCTCCATGCCCTCAACAATGTCTTCCAGGACAGCAACGCCTTCACTAGGGAAACCCTGCAGGAGATTTTTCAGAGGTAGGATACTCTCTGCACTGGCATTAGCTTCCCCTTGTCCTCTGTTGCTTGGAGAAATTTTCAGGTCTTATTTGGGGGAAGAATAGAGCAAAGGAGGGGTTCAGAGTATGCCACTGCTTTGAACTGAATGTAGCTTTTTTTTTTTTTAAACCTTTGCCCCTCCCCTCTTTTTTTTTTTTTTTTTCCTCCCCTCTCTCCATGCAAAAATTCTCTCTCTTTTTGCTTGTTTCTTAAACTATTCTGGCTCCTAATTTGGGGACCAAGGGCTTTCTTGGAGTTGCTGTCATGTGGTTGGACTGCTGTTTTCTCCCCCACCCACCTTAATGCATCTTCTACCCTACTCCATATTTTTGTCTCTGCCTTGTGTAGATATGTTATCTTGATGTTAGTAACGGATTTTACTATTGCCTTGGGGGAGTGAAGGCATCAGGAATGACAAATGGGTCATCATAAAAACTTCTTGATTTAGTACTGCAACTCTTCTAAGTTTTTTGGAAATTAGGAGCTTTGCCAAATGAATGACTCCTTATTCAAGTGGTTAAATGAAGTTCTTCAAATATTACGTTTTTTTTCATGCAGCAAGACCGTGTGTACTCTGTCAAACTGGATTTAATTTCAGTAGCTAGATCCCCACTTTCCATGGCATTGCTAAATGTTTCCTGACAGCTTCAGATAATTAATAAAAGCATTTTTTAGTTTTACTGGGATAAATGTAAATTATTAATGTGGCCTGTACAGTAGCTTATATTTTGCTCAATGTTTATTTTGTGCCGTTTCGGCGTTTTGAGGAAATTCTGAGTGTGCCTTTGAAAATTGTGATGACCTTTCATTGACAAAGCACAGTAATCAAATAGGGAACGGGGTCTCCTCTGATACTCCATCTGTGGGTGGTGTACTCGGTGCGTAAGTTACGCGTGAATACCCGTTACCAGCAGTTGATGGCATCTTGTGTTTGTGAGGGGTAGGAAATCACGCTTCACAGCAGTAGTTATGCAGGTATGGTTGGACAAGGGAGTCGTGGAGCCCTGTGCTGGTGAGCAGGGAGCCGCGCGCCTGTTGCTGCTACCCTGAAAGTCGGCAGATTTATGGAACTGGTTTTTGACTCTCCAAACACTTGCCTGTCTTTGGCAAAAGAAACTGGTGATGGACAACAGCAAATACTGGGTTGAAATGCTGTTTATGATAGCATTGTAAATAAAATTCCTGTTGGTGAAGTGGAGCTGGTCCATGGCAGGCTCAAGGCACTCTTTGTCCAGTGTGAAGATGCTGTGGTTTTGTTCCAGAGCTGCGATTGTCAGAATCTTAATCACAGATGGATTGCTGTTGGCCTGAAGCAAACAAAGGCGGTTCATGTGGTAGGAGTGTGATGATCTAATTAGTTTGCTGTCATTGGGTTTGGTGAGAGAGAATTAGTGTGGGGCATGAAACCTCTTGGAAAGAGCTGGCATGTTAATCTTGTTGGACCTCTTGCCCTAGAAGGGAGGATTTGTCTTTGATTCCAACCTGGTGGTGTTCCGTCCTCATATTCGGATCAAGATACACAGATTGATCCAGCCCCACTGTAGTATGGAAACATACATGGAAATTCCTCTCAGGAATGGATGAGCTTTCAGCTGTGCTTAAGAATTGCCACTGCCTTGGCATCTCTGTGGGGTTACTGCTCGCATCCAGCTCTTTGACCTGCCTTTAGGAAGTGTGGATTTAGTCACCCTTTATACATCTCTTTTTCCGTAAGTCTTTCCTGTGTCTAGTCATATTCTGTGTTGATGACTGATAAAGGACTGATGAGTATTTTTAATAAGCTACAAAAATGTTGCGAGGTGTGATTTTTTTTTCTTTTTTTTTTTAAACCCAGTGTTGACAAGGTAACGGAGTCACAAATAAGCTTAAGCTTTCTGTAGCTTTTGCACATCCCTTGAAGAGTGATTGAACGACGTTACTTAATCATTAGTTTCCCTTTTGCTGCATCCCGTTGCATAAGGCCAGGGTACTCTGATGGTTATCTCAAGGATATGCCAACACTTGGTTCAAACTCCCCTCTGATTTTGTAGTCCTTCCTCTCTTCTTTCCTCTAGTACAGGAAATACCTTTTTGATGTTCCTCTGGCTTTTGTTGCAGAAGTGAGATTGCATGTTCCAAATGCGGCATGGAGATACAAACCAAAATCACTTCGCTTCGCTGGAGTTTGTGTATTGAGATCTGATTAGGAAAGACAACTGTGTGCAGGAATCTTGGAGCCCATTGTGTTAAGACAACATGTTGATGAAAGTTTCTGACGTAGAAAGCTCAGGAGGGTTATTACCTGGATTTCCGTCCAGCTTTGTCAGTCTTCCTCAGCTTAGTGTTTAAATAAAAAAAATTAACTTTGGGGAGGCAACTTAATTCGTTGTCTAATCAGAATCCTTCAGCTGATGATTGTGGATCCTATTTAGGTGTGTGTGAGTAGAGACATTGAGGTGATTCTTGGTAGAAATTTGCTCACAGGTACCAGTTCTTTGGGTGTGTCAGCTCAGCTGGTCTCATTTAGGAGGCTTTGAAAGTTACAGGAAGGAACAAAGATGTTTGAGAGCTGAAAGAACACATTTAAGCTTCTCTCCGGAAAACGGTGCCACAAGAGGGTGCTTGTGCAACCCAAAGGGCTCTGTATTTGGAAGGCTTTCTGAGCTCGCTGGCACTCATGAGAGTTAATAGGTTGAAGCAGTGATCTTGAGGAATTGGTTGTAGCCAAGGGTTCTCGCTTTATGGAGATGCTGGAAGAGCTGTGACAAGCTACAGTTGCATCTCTGTGATCAGTAAAATACAGGAGAGCTTTGGAGACTGGAAACCATGAAAAGTCACTGCCTCGCTCGGAAATGCCCAGTGCTGGGTATTAATAGCTTTTCCCATTTCCACCTTGTTTTGGACTCCCCTCCCTTCTGTCACTTGCCAGGCTGTTCTGCTGCAGTCTGCTCCACCCCAAGAAAACTTGCAGCTGATGTGAAAAGCTACCTGTCTGTAGCCTCTCTAGACTTGGTTGGTCTGAAAGTCCCTACTCAACCCACTGCTTGCTGCTGCTTCTTGTCAAATGCCTTATGCTGTGAGGGGAGGAATGCAGAAGGGCTGAGGGATTTTCGCTGGATGGAATATGCCTGCAGAACTTGCGCTGTGCTAAAGGCCGAGTGAAAAACATGTGGGAATATCAGGAGTTCTGGGGGACGGACTTGCCGTGAGGGAGAAGCAGGTGAAACGTGGATATTTGAATGATATGAAACATCTGACCCTTGTGCCAGCAGAGCTAATAGAGCCCTTACCAATCAAAAGCAACTCGTTACAACAGAACTGACCTCAGGCCTGACTTTCTTTGGTTTGGTTTGGCATAGTGTGACCTTGCTGTTCTCTGCTCCTTGTGCTTACTCTTCCAGCTGTTGAAGTCTGTCTATCACCTTCATAATAATTCACCCCCTCATTGTTTCCCCTCCTTACAAAAATGCTTGGGGGGGGAAAAACATAAAACAATAAAAGTGACTAACTTGTTTGTTTGGGAGTCTTTTGCCATGTGTCTCTGTGTTTTATGTCTTGCATCCATTATCTGTGTTTGTGCAAAGGCTGCCTTATATTTTTGCATGTAACATGGACTGCAATTCTGGATTTTTTAGATGCTGTAGTAATGCAAGTGCTGTCTAGGCAAGCTCATGGCTTAAAGCTGAAGAGATTTGTTTGCGACAAGGTTATCTGGTTAGTTACCAGCAGCAACAGATAAATTTTTTTATCATATAGCAACGGCAATGCTTTAGAAAGCTCCCAAACCCAAATATCTTCACAGCTTTGTGCCTGAATACTTTTTTCATCTACCAATGAGGGGGTGGGGTGGGGGGAGAGGAACCTTTTCTGCAGCCAGCCTGCCCTGCCTCTTGTTATCTCATCCAGTCTTCAAGACTGGCGTTGGCTGTTGGACTCTTGAAATTGTGATAGCCCTTGTTCTAAACGGCAAACTGGCATTTACTCCAGCCATGAATTGAGGGGGAAAAAATAATGGAAGCGTTCTTCAGAAGTACCGGTTCATGGAGGGGCAGGAAGAGCTTCCTGCTTTGCGGTCTCTTCCCCATCAAAGCTAGGATCTTTAGAGGCTTCGTACATCAAAATTATTCTTAATGCATTATTTAGCCCTCTCAGCCCCTTTATTGAGTGATAAGAGGGAACAGAATAGTTCGTGATTAAACACAAAACCCCTGAAAACGGGCTTCAATTTGCCCTTTCCAACTGTGGGATGTAGGTTCTGCAAACACCCGCTAGAGCAGTCTCCTGTTTGCAGGCTCTCTCCCAACACCATGGTGACGCCCCACAAGAAGAGCATGCTGGGAAACGGAAACTATGATGTGAACGTGATCATGGCAGCGCTTCAGACCAAAGGCTACGAGGCAGTTTGGTGGGACAAGCGCAGGTACTGAGAAGTCGTGTAATTCTGGACATGGAGACACTGTAAAAAGAAAAAAAAAAAAAAAAACCAAACCCATGAAGTTACAAGTACCAGAATATAATCTTATTGCTGCCTTGGGTTTTTTTGCACTCTTTCAGGGATGTTAACGTCATTGCCCTGTCTAATGTGATGGGCTTCATCATGAATCTGCCCTCCAGCCTTTGCTGGGGCCCCTTGAAGCTCCCTCTCAAGCGACAGCATTGGATCTGCGTCCGGGAGGTGGGAGGCACCTACTACAACCTCGACTCCAAACTCAAGGTGCCCGAGTGGATTGGAGGTGAAAGTGAGCTCAGGTAGGATTTATTGTATCCTTGTTCCTCCTCAAATCCTTCCCTGTTGGAAGGGGGGAATCTGTCCTTAAACAGTCAGTGATTGGAATGTTTATGGTTGACCTTCAATAGCCAAGATTTGAGAGCAATAAGGTTCTCGTGCCTCTACTTAGGTTTATACCCTGTTTGCATGAAGCTAGGGAAATGATTTTGGCAGCGGTGATTTCTGCGAGCTCAGGAGAGCCTGACTTGGTCTCTCACGTGGCTGGTTCTGTCACTAGTGACGAAGGTAGAGGCCAGGTCTGGTATTAGTGGGTGACACCTGCAACAAGATGTGCTGTGCCTCTCTCTCTCCTCAAACATGGGAGTATCAGCATTCCTTTGTCTCTTTAGTAGCCATCTGTGTCTGTGTTCCCAGCAAAAGGCTTTCCGGACTACAAGTGCAGCCATATACCTGTGAAAGCTGCTTGTTAGGAATCACTTGCCTATGTAAGCACATGCTGCACTTCTGGCTTGACCCCCTTCTCCTCTTTACTCTTAACATGAGATGGTTGGTGTAATTACTTGGACTGTAAAGTCTCCCCTGTGCTTAGTTGCTGTTTAGTTTCCATTCCATCCTCTTCTAAAGCCTTACTAGCAGCTTTGCTGTCTTGACTAGGCTTGTGCTGAGGTAGGGATTACACCTGAGCAGTATTTGCAGAGCCTACCGTGCCATTAAAGTCTTGGTAAAGTGAATGTCAGCCTTTCGTGAACTTCTGGGATAAATTAATGCGGTTCTGGAGCTGCTGGGCAGAGCTTGTAGTGGTTTTTATCCTGGGTGTGCTGTTCTTCAGCAATAAATAAGGGCTTCCTGTATAGGGAATTTTGGAAATCTGGGCCAAAAGGTATTGGAGAAAAGATTGATTTGACTTTCATAGTTATTGAAGATAATCCAAGTTTGGTATTAGAAAAAGCTTATGGGCGGAAAGGGGCTGCAGGATGATGTCAAATGACCAGGGGTACGCTGCCACTATGACCTGAGATAAGGACATGTGGTGGGTTGACCCTGGCCAGATGCCAGGTGCCCACCAAAGCCACTCTATCACTCCCCTTCCTCAACTGGACAGGGGAGAGGGAAAAAAAAAAGTAACAACAGGCTTGTGGGGTTGAGATAAGGACAGGGAGATCACTCAGCATTTACAGTCATGGGCAAAACAGACTCAACTTCAGGAAAATGTAATTTATTACCAATTGACTCAGAGAGGAGTAATGAGAAATAAAACCAAATCTTAAGACACCGCACCCCCCCGTCTTTCCTGGGCTTAAATTTGTTCCCAATTTCTCTCCGTCCTCCCCCTCCAGCGGCGCAATGGGGGAACAGGGAATGGGGGTTGTGGTCAATTCATCA